ACATGTTGGCTATTGATTAGCAATCGTGAGAGAGAGAGAGTGAGAGAGAGAGAGTGAGAGAGGGGGACTAGGTCATTTTGGAACGAACATATGGTAGAATTTATTTGAATAATTCGCATATGCGTAGGGGTCATTAGAATTGAGAGGAAGCTCGAATAGGTAGAGGGTACGCCAATTAGTACACGGGACTCATCCGAACTACTATTGTAATTCTGCCATATTATATCTAATGTAATATGAATATGATAAAAGCCCGACCTATGCTGCCTATTATTTAAATCGCAATTAATTTGTGTTCACATTATAACTAAAATATGATCATTTTTCAAACGCATCTGTCCCCAAAAATGTGTTCTTATGCCTGGCCGATCGTCAAACCATTGGGTGTATTATATCCATTAATTAATTTGTTAAATATGCAATATAAATAACATTGAAAAACCTTATAAATTACACAATATTTAGAGTAAATACAATCAACAAGCCAACAGTGAGACTCATGTTCCCCGCCGAAATCCCAAAATAAATTTATGACACATATTAATTAATCGCACATTTATTATTTTCAAAACCATCAAGCAATCAAACTATACACTAAGTTTCATCACTCTCTCTCAGATAGAATCAAGATTATTTTGTCCCAAAGCATCGACCAATGAAATTGATTAGCCCTGTTAGCTTTAGCTCGAAATGTTAATCATTGAACTTAGTCAAGATATTCACCTAATGAACATCTACATCAAGTTTTAACATTCTACCTCAAAACAAAAGCAGAATTGTTATGTTCCAAAGTCTTGACCAATCAAATTGCTTATCGCTCTTTAGCCTAAGCAGAAAATTTGCATCATCGACCTTACTCAAGGTAATGATATAATGAATCTATATTCGGAGGACAAAAGGTAAATGCATATAATACAAATGTAGACTCTAACTACAAGACATCTGACACAACCACGGACAGGACACATCATACAGACACCACAAACAACAATTGCACATCTCAGATAAAGTGATAGGTCGGTCCACGACCACAAGAAAATACAATAAACGAGCTGTATTTGGGACTTAATTTCAACACATATGATAAGATTTACCATTTAAAACATCATTTATGAACAATTAAAGTATTGTTAAGTTAGATTTTTGTGTGATGTGTCCATTTGAATGTGTATTGTTGTTTAGCTTGTTGAAAAGTTGACCACCACATGTATCGTTACAGCGGTAGATTTTTTTTGTTACAAAGAGTTAAGTTTCATAGTCACATTGGCTCTGAACCAAATGCTTAAAAGCGCTAAATCCCAGTTCTTGGCACCTAGAAATGGAAACAAATGAGTCGAAACGCATATAATAATGTAATATGAAAATTATACATAAACTGATTTACATTCAAACGTTTCCGTTTTTACTGTAATTTCTAGTCGTTTTATTACATATGGAGTGCGAAACAAATATAAGTTGAGTGGATATGAGTACCACCACAGGAATCATGAAATGTGGTCGTATATTGCCGTCGCCCCCGTCCGACCGTCCGTCCGTCCATCGTCCACAATTTCTTGTGAACACTCTACAGACTACATTTATCATCTGATTGTTTTGAAATGGATATATGTTGTTTGCATTAGTGAGATGAAGAATCCTATTTAATTTCAATAACTTCCGTTAATTTCTTCTGGAGTTATGGCCCTTGTTTCACTTTGTTGCACCTCGTGAACGCTCTAACGACAAAAGTTATCGACCGATCTGTATGAAATTTATATGCATCATTTTAATTAGTAAAACAACGAAGCCTATTGAATTTCATCAATTTCCGTTAATTACATCTAGAGTTATGGCCCTTGTTTCACTTTGTTGAATCTTGTGAACGCTCTAATGACAAAAGTTATCAACCGATCTGTATGATATTGATATGCAACATTTAAATTAGTGAAATGAAGAATCCTATTGAATTTCAGCAATTTCCGTTTATTTCTTCTGGAGTTATGGCTCTTGTTTCACTTTGTTGCACCTTGTGAACGCTCTAACGACAAAAGTTATCAACCAATCTGTATGAAATTTATATGCATCATTTAAATTAGTAGAACAAAGAATCCTATTGAATTTCAGCAATTTCCATTAATTACATCTAGAGTTATGGCCCTTGTTTCACTTTGTTGAATCTTGTGAACGCTCTAATGTCAACAGTTATCATCCGATCTGTTTGAAATTGATATGCATCATTTAAATTAATAAAACGAAGAAGCCTATTGAATTTCACCAATTTCCGCTAATTACGCCGTGAGTTATGGCCCTTGTTTCACTTTGTTGTACCTTGTAAATGCTCTAACGACAAAAGTTATCATCCGATCTGTTTGAAATTTATATGCATTATTTGAATTAGTAAAACGAAAAAACCTGTCGAATTTGACGCCCCCCCCCCCATTTTTTAAACGCTATAACAATAATCATGACGCTCCAGTAGTGTCAAATGAACAAATCAACTTAACCATGTTGCACACACCATCAGTCGGGGAAATGATATAGACCTTGTAGCGTTGCATTACCACTTCCGAAGTTATACTGACTTCCTGCTTCACGAAACTCATTTAAACATACATTATGCAAGCGCTAAATCTACCTATTGCAGGTCTTTCTTTGGGTCTGAAATGTTATATAAATTATTAATTAGACATTAATTATCTTATCCAGACAATAATCAACTCTTGATGTCATCTTATGTGTCAGATTTTCACTGGATTTCAATCAAATTTACTGCGCAACGCTCATTGGCGATTTATTCCAAAAATGGATAATCGAGGCTGTGTTTTTTTATCGTACCGACTTTAGTAATGATGACCGGGGCCAGGCTTAAAATTCAAACTCTAATATATCGGTTCAGAGTGGAGCAATTGGGCTGTATTTTCAGCATTTCCCCTTTACATTATCTAGTTCTTCACTATTATAGTGAGAACTGTCAACTATTTATCTACTCTTCCATAATGTATCTTTGAGGTACCGTCACTGGACGCTACTTGGACAACACCAGGAAACAGCTAGAAATTAATGAATGACACTTTAATTCGAAATCGTTTCACCAATGCGCAATTGTCCAAGGAGCATCCATTCCATGTTTGTATCATAGTTTTGAATTGGGTTGGACTAACTCTCCATACTTTTTGCCGTGAAATTTTATTTTTCCTTTCTGTTTCCTGGTAACGTAATCCACCATATGTATAAAATTTAATTGCCATATATGCAAGATGGCAGCCATCCGGATAAATTCAAAGAATATCAAAATATACATAACTTTGATCAATTTTATTGTTCATTCTATTTCCCGGTAACAACCATGCTTATAAAATTTTATTTTCATATGGAAGATGGAAGTTATTCGAGTAAATCAATAGATTTAAACATATCGCTAACTTTGTTCAATTTTATTGTTCCATTCTATTTCCTGCTGATGTGTATAAAATTTGATTATCATATGAAAGATGGCAGCCACGCGAATAAATCGATGAATTTAAACATATCTATAACTTTGATCAGTTTTATTTTTCCATTCTGTTTCCCGGTAAGTTAATTCACCATGGTTATAAAATTTGATTATCATATGCAAGATGGCAGTCATTCGAATAAATCAATAAAGAAAACATATCTATATCTTTAATATATTCATTTTATTTCCGCAACTCGATGTAGCAAGTAATTGTATTTCGGTTGAAGGTGCCATTAAACGGTCATTTCTAGTAATAGGTTCCAACCCATTCTTTTCAAAGAAAATTCTCTACTCTACCTTGAGAATAGATCCCTGTCCTAAATGGCCGCCATATCCAACAATTCATATAGGCCTACTGTTTTGTAATCCGAACCTACTCCGGTTCACGTCTGTTATACACAAAAAAATAACTAATTAAACCATTTCAATTTTATTAAATTGAGATACTTCTCAAGATTTTCGAATATTTCTATGACGCGTCTAATCAATGATGTCACATATTTTTGACGTCAATGAAAATAATTATCACACTTTTTTTGTTGCAAGAATTAAAATGTCGGTCATCTAGCTTAGCGACTGTTTTCAGTCAGGTTAAGTTTAGTATGGATCCAACTCACGCCTTTTATGTAATCAAAATTGTAACCTGGTCCTACGCATGCGTATTTGTGCAATTTAAAGGCCATTTCCAGCTCTGCTTAGTATTCCCCTTTTGTTTCATAAATAAGTTTGAACCAATGAAGTGCTTTCTCTAACATGTTCGTAAACGTAATTCGGCCTGTGGGCGTATAGTGTTAACTGGATGCTTATTCTATAGGTACATACTATGAAGGGACATTTGGCCCAAATAATTTGAACAATTCAAAATGAAATAGGGTTTAACTGCTTCGACTGAGCTAATGAAGAGAAGACTGGCACGCGCCATACAGTGATTTGTGCGTCCACCCCAATGTGTACACGGGATCTCGTTGTTTCGTCCCATCTGAACGATTATACGTGGTCACTTACAGGCCCATCTAATCTGCACCACTGACAAGGGGTGGAAGGAAGGGGAAACACGCCGGAAAATTACGATGAACCTACACGGCCAAAACCGGGATAGAACTCGTGACCCCCCAGACTAGCGAGTCAGCGTCTTCCCCTCTTACACGGCCAACGCAGGGATCGAACACGGGACGCAAATAGATTTTTAGAAATCTTCTGTAATACTTCCGGTCTCAGGCCAATCCAATCTTGAATTTAACTTGGCTGCTGCGTCATCATCAGAAGTATTTCCCTTTTTTACTTCCTTCTATTTTAATGGCGGAAGTAGACAACAAGTAAATAATAACAGCTGGTGATATGTGAAAATGTTTAAAAGAAGTAACGACGTCGCTATATTCTTCACACAACTTTCAGTTTATCAGAGAAACTGTTAAATCTTTCAACATGCGTTTGACGTTGTTCGTCACACTGCTAGTGATTATTTGTATTATGGTGGCTGATGCCCATCGTGGTAGACGGGGACGGAGTCGAGCAGGAAGGGGATGAGGAGGATGGAAAGGATGGGGACGGGTCGGAAGGGGGCGAGGTTTGGAAAGGCGGGGAAGAAGACGAGGATGGGGAAGACGAGGAGGTCGAGGATATGGAGGAAACAATTGGTCATCCCGACGACATCGTCAGCCAGGTGAGAATCAATCTTATTAAAACACAGATCTATATTTCATTTCGTTTTTTTTATACTTTGGATGGCCTACACTACACGAAGATCTGACAAGTTATAGCGTTACGTCACGTCATGGTTCAAAAGACCGACTTATGACCCAATGATGTCAGACATTTGATTAACCAATCAGCATTGATGTTACTAGTGGATTACCCACAGTTCCGTGCAAAAAACGCCTAAAGCTCGCCGTAACAGACAGTTTCATTGGCTTATCCCCGACACCATTCAGAACACGAGTTAAATAACAACTCTTCCAGATCCAAGTGTAGTAAAACGAAATTTTGAACTATAAAAACGAAACGAAATAGGATCTGTTTTTTAACCAGATTGTTACAATGTTGCCTTGATAGACCATAGAAAATAACCCGTTTTCTATGATTCACATAATATTTTGTGATATGTGCCCCGCCTTATATTCAATGCTGTTTTAATTAGCAGTTTGATGCCAGAGGTCAAGGGGAGATCATTCCCAGAACCGGGATTAACTTTTGTTTTTAGTTGTTTTATGATGTGAGTGTAACCGTTCCTGGTTTAAAATAAACACTGAAAGAGATTTGTGTTGTCCTTACCCCCAACAACACAATAAGTTTGGGTGAGAATAATAATATTATTATTTTAATAACGGTGGTGTTTATCTATTTTTATATTCTGACTAGAGACCTCAGTTGAAAAGCCTTAGTAATTTGAAAAATGTTTTTGTGCGTCACTGGCGGAAGCGGAACTAGTAATTGTCATCTGAAAATAGTAGAACGACAACGATCCGTTAATTACAAACCAGCAATTTTGATCGATTTCCTTATCACATCGCAATCTTCTGCCATATAGAAAGGCCTGGCTATATGTTTGTCGCCATGAACGAATTAATTAATAAAACAATTTATCTTCCTGTTGTTACAATATAGAAAAAGATAAACGTTCTCCTTTAATATAATAGACGCGTGGTTGACTATGATCCTTTAATATAAGAGAAGCCGGATTAGGATAATGTTGACCGCTCGGCTACAGTTAGTGTCGGAGACCAATATTGTTTTACCCACAGTATTATTTCTGTACCCACGGTACGACCCTGGTTTAGAGCATAGTTTCTTTTGCCGTAGTATGGTCAGTGAGTTTGGCTAGCTAACCTGGAGGTCATGTGTTTGATCCTTGCCTTTCCATGGGGGTGGTTCCACCTTGTAAGTGGTGCAGGACATAGGGACAGGGTCGTACTGATGGGACGACACACCGAGGTCCGGTGGACACATTGACGTGCTCACAAAAGACCCATTGACAGTTAGAATTCGATATAAGAGTTTGGTCGTATAGAAGCTGTCCTGGCAGGATTTCCATCATAACACACTGTATGGCGCATACCCGTCTTCATTAGCCCAGTCAGAGCAGAACAGTAGGACTTTAAACCCAATTTCATTTCAACATAATAGTTGGTTGAGTTGATCCTAATATATAATGGTTGGATTGCCGAGTGGTTGCAGCCCAAGACTTTACCCTGCCCCGCTTTACGTACGATCCTGGCCATTTACCCTAGCGTGTCGACAGGAATTATACATGTTTTAAGATGATCAGATCTTTCAAATTAACAAAAAGGATGATGCTTTAGTTGGGTTGTGAGGTTGAATCAGCCAGCCAATTAACTATATGGGTTTATCCTCCCATTACTAATGGTGGAGCAATGGTGGCTCAGTGAGTAAGGCGCTTACCGGTTAGCCAGAGTATCTATGATTTGCCACTGAGAAGGTTTCTCTTGGAGTTTCGGCGTAGTTAGCCATGTGCACCTATATTCTCTCTGATCTCCAATTATGCTACAAACAGATTGAAAGCATTTTCTTTTCTTACAGTTGATGGTAATTGGGGAACGTGGTCTAACTATGACGAATGTTCTTTGACATGCGATGCTGGCACACAAAAGCGATATAGATCTTGCAATAACCCCACCCCGGAGTATCAGGGACGCACATGCATTGGTAAAAACCAAGAAAAACGGCAGTGTAATCAGTGTCCTTGTCCAGGTATGGTATATATAAAATATATAAGATATCGAACGTGTCAAATTGTGATGGCAAAGTAACTGTTTTATATTTCAGACACCTGTGATTATTATTATTTGTGAATATGTTTTATGTTACAGACCCCTGTGAATCTGTTGAATGTCTAAATGGAGGTGAATGTTTAAGAGGCATATGTGAATGCACCTATTGATATTCTGGATCAGATTGTGGCGGTAAGATGATAGACAATTAACAGTGCTGAAATACGTCATATTAGTATATTTGATAAATGAAATGAAATGAAATAGGGTTTAACGTGCTAATGTTCTGCTCCTAAACTGGGCTAATGAAGACGGGTATACGCCATACAGTGTGCTATGAGGGAAATTTTGCCCGGGCAGCGGTGCTACGGGCTACTCTTATATCGAATTCCAACTGCCAAGGGATCTTTTACGTGCACGCCAATATGTACACGGGACCTCGGTTGTTCGTCCAATCCGAACGACTAGACAGCTGTCCTTGCCAGGCCCTCCGTCCTGCATCCCTGACAAGGGGAAACCACGCCGGAAAATCTGGATGAACTTTCTCGGCCAATGCAGGGATCGAACACCAGACCTCCAGGCTAGCGAGCCAGCATCTTAGCCAGATATATTTAATAAAAGTGAAGTTATATTAGTATATTTATTAATATCAAATATAGTTTATATAAAATCTTCATCAAATGTAACCAAATCCCGAGCTCTACAAGCTCGAACAATAAATTGTGAGGGGGTGTCTTGATAATTAATCAACAATGATAGAACGGTGATGTTATTTTCGGTATTGACTGTAAGCACCCTTCCCCATTAAATGTTCACTTAATAGTAAGTGGAGGGCGACCACACTACACACAAACAATTACACAAGACGTTAACTATTGTATATTGTATATTTCTAGTTGATTCTTGTAACAACAGATGTTTGAACAATGTAACATGTAACAATGGTATATGTGATTGCCCTCCAATGTTCAGTGGAGAAGATTGTGGAAATAAGCTAGAACCAGGTATGTTTTTAATACTAATTAAATATAGAACTAAGCATCCTAAAGTGGGATAAAATTGAAAGACACATAAGTATATTCATACCTGGACTTTATACAAAGAAACATCCCAAAGAAATTGCATTGGATATCTAAATAAAACTTTACCAGAAAACGTTCCAGGTTAATTGTCGATCTCATGGCAGAGAAATTACATATGTTTTTAAACAAGTGAGTATATTCCGCCACGTGAACGCCAGATGTCATTGTTATATTACCGAGTGGTTTGGTTTTGTAATTGTAATTGGGAAATATATAAATCAAATATTGTGTCATCATTTCTTAAAGGTGACCATAATCTAAATGGCCATATGAGTAATGTTGTGTAGACGTTAATACAGGTTTGTGTCATGGTGACGGATGTTCTAGTATGAAGATGGTATCGTGGCAGACTCTAGATCTGTAAAGATACTACTTATCACTGCAGCATTTAATTTGGTTGACTATCCCTAGTCGTTCTGCTGTTATTAATGACCCTTAAAAAACAAAAGTAATCACAAAATCGTTGAGATTACGTCTTTGGTGTGTCTGCGTAGCATCAGAAAACGTTTTTCTTAAACTCCAAGTCGTGTCATGTTGCGTTGAATTTATTACAATGAATTTTAGGATAGCGTGTAGAAAAATTAAATGTTATAATAAAAGAGAAAAACTTTACATCAGATATTGTAATAGATCTGTTCTTTTTAATATTCAATATCTAATCGATGACACTGCGAACATAAATAGTATTAATAGCTACAGCAATTGACATGAATTTTGCGGAGCATCGTGGCAATCCAACTGTAATCCAACATAGGTATGGCGAATCAGCATTTGTATATCCAATATGAATATCACAAAATGTAAACCCTCATCCCAACACATAAAGATACATAAAGTGTGACTTGTGAATATGGCATCAACTAGATCTACAAGATGTTAGAACTAATGTGTGATTTGTCTAAATATCTTATTTGTTGAATGTAGTACACTTGTTTAACGTAACTGTTGTTATTTATTTCAGTCGATTTGTGTGAGAATATCACCTGCTCAAATAACAGCCAGTGTGTATCAGGTATTTGTAAATGTACCCCTGGTTACGATGGAGATAATTGTACTGGTAAGTGTAATTTGAAATTAATGTCAGAAACTGGTCATTGTAAAAATTGGTTACTGTTTTATTTAATATGGTCATTGTAATAATTGGACAGAGAATTTTAACTTAACCTGTATCTTGTTACTTCCAGTAAATCTATGTGAAATAAAATCTATGTAGATTGTTCGTACTGGGTTTTATTTTATTTATTTTGTTACTTCCAGTAAATCTATGTGAAATAACAGACTGTCCGCGTGCAACTACACCGTGTGTACCAATCCTTGCACCTGGTGGATACACCTGTAGTTGTATTAAAAGAGAATTTGAGTTTGGAACTGGTTTTCGTTTGTGCGATGGTTAGTTAGAACTTAGATTACGCCTGATGAATGCTGACATTGTCATTTGTCTATTTCGTTTTGAAGGTTGTTCAGCGAAACACAGTTTTGTATTTATGTTAAGTTAACCACATGACAAGAAAGAGAGAAGCCGTATAGTGTATTCCTTTGGAGCTGAGTTAGAACAAATAAATAACTTAACGACCAACACCGGTACAAAAAGCCTACTATACCTGTGTACAACCAACTAGATTATTATTACAGTCTTGATATATTGGTTGAGAATTTCACGGTAAGATGAATGAGTGGGTTGAAAATGTAAGTTCAATATGAAAACGGCACAAATCAATTCCACGTTCCTGTTTCTTCCATGGATAACAGTTCTAGACTAACTAAAAGTATTATTATTTATTTTAGCATTATCAATCATTACACCTGATAAGTTTCGTGGCGGAAATTTTAATATTACAACCAATATACCTGGAATTCCTGGTAAAAACCTCACTATTTCATTCATTGATGAATATCGTATTAGATCAGCGGACTACCTAGAGATTGGAGGCACACGGTACGTATGCACCCCAATTCCCGACGTATACACCTACAACATTAACTACTCGTTGTATAGATGAGTTCATTAGCCTAGGTTAGGAGCAGAACAGTAGGACGTTAAACCCCATCCCATTTCCTTTCATTTATATAGATGAGACTAAAGCCTCTAAATAAAGATCTGGGGCCAGTTGTTCAAAACTAAGTTATTTTAACGATCCGTTAAACTCTAACGGATCGTTATCTTCCTAACCTGTCGTCTGTTAAAGGTGCATTAAATTTATGTTGCTGGAAAGTCAATTCATGTCCCCTCCGTCCTGCAACTGACAAGGAGGAACCACGCTGGAAAATCCGGATGAATTTTCTAGGCCAATGCAAGGATAGAACACCCGACCTCCAGGCTAGCGAGCCAGCGTCTTACCCACTTAGCCACCGTGCCGAACTTCAAAGAAATTAGTATTAACAAGACACTTGTGGAACAACTGTGCAGTCTGTTCAGAACACTTGATTAAAGACAAAAACAACTGTAGAATTTACTACAGAAAACACTATTTAAAAAAACCTATAGAATACTTTATTTTTTCTTTTAGAAATGTTAGCATAAATCTGTAGGAAAAATTATGGGATTTGCACTATGAAGACTGTAGAATATTTGGGACCATTATTTCTTACAGGCCCCCAAAATTATGTAGAATACTATAGAATTTCATCCTATAGAAAATGGAATAGCCCTCCCCATTGCCCAACCCTCTGGAAAATTACATTAGTAATCTATGACTCTTTTCTAAGGGTATACTTCGACTGACAGCCCATTCATGCCATCGTTAAACACATAACGGAGCCCAACACCGCCGTTAAATATAACGGCAAGTTCACGACATGTTAAAGTCAGACTTTCTCCCCGTTAAAGATAGCGATCCGTTAACTCCATGTTAACGTGTAGTTAAAAGTTAACTGATCTTTGAGGAACCGGTTCCTGGTTTTTAATGTAACGTTTTTATACTATAATACATGTACATTAATTTACATAAAAAAGAAATGGGATTTAACGTCCTACTTTTATGCACATTACGTTAGGTTGATTTTCAAAGAATTCAAAATATCGAGCTTGTACTAGGTAAGATACACGGTGGTTTGAGGTATGGATATAAATTAAAGGTCTTGTGGTTACATCTAATGCAGCCTTGTTGTCACTTTAAGATCTACCAACTTTTAAAGATTCTCTATTCTTTATTTGTACAGTTATTCTGGCAAAACGCCTCCAGCAGACATCACATTTTCAACTGGTGCTAGTACGCAGCTACGCTTAGTTACCGGCAATTCGAGGAGTTCTGGAGTTTATACATTGACCTAACAATATATAGGTGATTAATAAATAAAACGAATTAAATCAACATTTAGTGTATTTAATGTTTATATATAAAATTACTCAAACGTAAATAGCAAGGTCATTTATCATTGGGTACGCCACCAAGTTAATGTTACTATAATAGTATCAATGACCACACATTATATTCTGATAGATATCCGTGTGTATTTATATTGGCATAGTGGTGGTTTGGTTCATATTCCGGATGTGTAAACTACTTCAATATGATTTAATATATCACGTGTTCAAACATAGATACGTACGTGCCGATATGCCACGGGATAAACATATCTTTTTGTATTGATATTATATTGACATATGGATGAGATGCTAATTACTAACAGAAATCTCAGTCAAACATACTATATACAAATTATTGTAATTAGAAGTGAGAGAACATGGAAGAACCGGGAGAAATGAAATAGGGTTAACTTCCTACTTTCCTCCACCGAGTTGGCTAATGGAGAAGGGTAATTTATGAAAACTATTTCCTTCGTGCATATAATAGGTCCTTCTAGATATGATTGATATTAAATATTTGTATATTTCTAAGGTTATTTCTTAACAATTAGTTCATTTGTTTATTATACCGTGAATTCTATAACTAATAAGTTTCGGTCGAAATATCAGAACATATCAGAGTGAACAACAACTATCCTGTCAATCTCCACACATTCCATCTGTCTAAAGAATGACCTAATCAAATAAACTGAACACAGTACAGTAAAATCTTGAAAACAAATCAATTATCTTTCATATATTTTATATAGACGCTGTACCAGATCCTAATCCTTGTAAAAATGGAGGAACGTCCACTGAACAAGACACATGTAATTGTATGCCAGGTTTTCAGGGAACTAATTGTGAATGTGAGTAAAACAATGTTTATTTCCAATGAGTTTGATATGTCAATAATATATTGTAATCAGCTTTAAAAGTTTCACAAGTTGGGTTATCTGTAAATATGCTGAGATTCTTCCGCGATCCTTAATGAACAAAATTCACAAATATTTTACAAGGGGTTAATTCCTCTATCACCGAAATTAAATAGTGTTTGTCTAATGGAAGGACCTTTTCAAATGTTCATTTTCAACACAGAATGGGTGAATGTCGAAAACATTAATTCAGTTGGATTGATCCTGAATCCCATATCACCGAGTTTAAAAGAAGATTTTACAAAGAGTAAGTTCCTTATCACCGAGGTCAGACTTTGCCAGTTTAAAGGAATGACCTTTAACAACATTTGTTCATGAAGCTATGTACTTACATAATGTATTGATGTCATTGGTTAATATAATAATTTATTACTGTTACAGTTCCACCAATATTAACATCAGGCGGCAATTACCAAAAAGACAGGAACATATTGTTCACTCTGCCTGGTTTTCCAGCGAAAGATCTTGTCCTTACGTTTGTCGATGATTTTAGTATTGAAACTACGAATGGATAGTTTATTGGCCAATCACGCTATTTTACCGACATTTCGCCTAATAGTTTGGATGCAGCTATGGCGGGTGTGGCGCCAGGCAGGGTAAGCTTACTCTTCCGTACACCTGTTACCACTGTTTGTCGTGTATTTTGTATACGAGGAGCAGTCCATTTGCTGATTACACTATTTTGCTTGAATACACTATTTTGCCTATAACGTTTTTTAGGACTTCGAATTCTGTCTTATGGTTTGGATTGTTCGTACTTGGTTTTATTTTATTCTAAGAAACGATTGTATGGAAGATTATGTGGAGATAGAAGGAACAACGTAGGAGAGGTAACTTTATATTAAACCCACTTTCCTTCATCTGCCTATACAGTAAAGACACCATCTCTTGTTATATGCTGCCTATACAGTAAAGACACCATCTCTTGTTATATGCTGCCTATACAGTAAAGACACCATCTCTTGTTATATGCTGCCTATACAGTAAAGACACCATCTCTTGTTATATGCTGCCTATACAGTAAAGACACCATCTCTTGTTATATGCTGCCTATACAGTAAAGACACCATCTCTTGTTATATGCTGCCTATACAGTAAAGACACCATCTCTTGTTATATGCTGCCTATACAGTAAAGACACCATCTCGTGTTATATGCTGCCTATACAGTAAAGACACCATCTCGTGTTATATGCTGCCTATACAGTAAAGACACCATCTCGTGTTATATGCTGCCTATACAGTAAAGACACCATCTCGTGTTATATGCTGCCTATACAGTAAAGACCCCATCTCTTGTTATATGCTGCCTATACAGTAAAGACCCCATCTCTTGTTATATGCTGCCTATACAGTAAAGACCCCATCTCTTGTTATATGCTGCCTATACAGTAAAGACACCATCTCTTGTTATATGCCCCAGTACTATTCAACCTGTTATACATCATTTAAACATTACAGAACAAATATATTATAGTCTATAAAATAATCTATTCATATTCTTATTTAACCGAGAACAATATCCCACCTGGATTAAGAAATGATATCAACCAGTCTATACTGCTAAATCATTTGGTGAACTTAACGGGACAGATTAAATCTAATCACATATCTATATATTCCCTGATTACAATACTGCGTTTTATTACAGATATTGTGGAGGCGTGGCACCGGAACCTATTACCATACCTACAGGTAACGGAACAGTAGTACGTTTTGTGAGTAACGCTGACAGCGATCAGTGCCCGACAGGTTTTAGACTTACCTTTGTCTATAGAGGTAAGTCAGCCAGGCAGTGTGGGAGTTATCACGTTGTGTTGTTGACTTTAGAGACGTGTGCACGGATCTAGTAATGGTTTCATTGGCGATATTTGGAATATTCCTAAGAGACAAAAACGAACGGAAGATTACTCTTTCTTTTATTTTTCAGATCCGTAGTCATTTTAGAACAAACCCAGGAATTATTGGTATTATTTGATGGAAGGATATGTCAGCAGAAAAGTTGTGTTCACCAAAAAGAAATAATTCCTAGTTTTACAGAAACCTTACAATTGGTATATGATATTAATACAACAAACCAATAAATATTGTATATACCACTTTGTCTTCAATGGAGTCTTGTTTTTTTGTACGAAATCAGACTAGAGTGTCACCATGTAGATAAGATTATTAGGTTTGTTACCGATGCAAGTGTCCTGGTTTCAATCACATGCTTATCCAGGCCTTACCTCCTGTTTTGTCTACGGTGCACCGCTAATGATTAACACGACAATTGTGAAAAGATTTTAGTCCCGAGATGACATGTGTTGAGTCTCTTGACGCAAACAAATTCAAAGTCAAGTACAAATCTAGTATTAAATAGACATCATATGCACAGAACGAGATTTTCTTACACGTTTAAAGATTTTATTGAATAAACGTAACCAGTATAACATCTATAAATCATAATTAGACTGGGTTTGGGTTGGTCTAATGTTTCTTACCAGATTTTTAGCTTAAATTGGGTTGATTTCACATTTTTACCCAACAAGTGCCGTTTTGAAGGAAGAAAATATATGATGTTGTGCTGATATGAATTGACGGGCCTGGTTTGCCCGGTTCTGTCATCTCCTGTAATGAACCTGTCTGGTTCTGTCATCTCCTGTAATGAACCTGTCTGGTTCTGTCTGGTTCTGTCATCTCCTGTAATGAACCTGTCTGGTTCTGTCATCTCCTGTAATGAACCTATCTGGTTCTGTCATCTCCTGTAATGAACCTATCTGGTTCTGTCATCTCCTGTAATGAACCTGTCTAACTCCAGAAGAAGAAGCTGACAATGTTTATTAGAATGTCACATGATGGAATGACAAAATAAAGCAAACTGAAAGACAAACAAATGCAATTTGCCTTTTTCAACGGTGGGGGAGGAGGGGGGGGGGGGTCGCTTTGAAATAGCCTCTGTACTTAGTCCCTTACTTATATTTGATTAATTCTTAATTGTACAGAGTTTCACTGTTAAAATAAAAAGATGTCCAGGGAATTCCTATCATTAAATCCAAAATTACACTGCTGCCCCGGTAAAAAGAACAGATGAAATTTAATAAAAAGTCAAAGTTCTTAGTTGAAAAACTGAATATAATTCGTCTATATCACCAAACTTTATATTATTTAATCTAACCTTCTACTGGACACTAGTGATTTCAGTCGAATCGGGAGTCAGTAGGTCTTATACCAAAGGCTCAAGATATGTCTGTTACAGGTGTATTGGTCAACCAGTGCTCCCGTCAAAAGGCAAAACCTAGTAAGTCACCTTTTTCTCATTTTGAGAAAACAAAGGAAAACGTAATGAATGAATATTAAACCCCAGCTCATCCATTGATTGACTATTGAGTTACTAGGTTTTGCTGTGGTATACTAGGCAAATGAAGGAAGTTGCTAGGTTGTGTCATGGGTGTAACTGCTTACAAAATGAAAAGATTGGACTATCTAGTACAACAACAGGAAGCACATACCCTAGTAACTACAAATTTGGTCCTAACTCAATTTTGATAAACAAGTGAGTTACTAGGTTTTGCCTTTTGACGGGAGAGTGTCTGATAGTAGTGCATAGGTCAACAAATGTCTGATAGTGGTGCATTGGTCAACCAGAGGCTCAACAAATCTCTACTAGTGGTGCATTGGAATTCGATGAAGATTAGACGGACACGCCGCTGTTCGGGCAAAATTCCTCTCTTAGCACACTGTATGTGTATGTCCGTAGCTCCCAAATAACTGAATAAATCTGAGTTTTGGGGACAATGTACCTGGTTTAGTATGCTTATGCAATGTGTGGAATTCGTCTAAATTTGACAGTTGACAATGCTTGATTCCATCTTCGTCTCCAAATTATGTAGGCATACATACACTCTGAACTTGTAAAGGGAGAAATCCAACACCCCGTTTGACGTCCGTTTTTATAATGAAGTAGCAGGATCACATTGTTATTGAATTTCAGTGATGCAAAACATAAATTGTGATATCACATATGTCTATATCATTATCGCGCGCTTTGAATGACCATCTCATCCCCCCATCAGTTGATAAAAAATGAAGCACACGACCGTCACACTTTTCTGTGTGTGTGTATAATAAAGCCGTTGAATATTGAATGTTGCGTTTTTAGGCAACGATTACACGCCAATCAGAAACATTTTAAAGGACCGCGAGGCTAAAAAAATGACACGGCTCCGAATTTCGACTTGTTCTTTCTGTAATAGACAAACTATAGATATAAGTTTAAAATGAAAACGTCACAGAACTAAAACATGTAGGGTGTTTAGACGAGATATCGGTGGCCGGGGTGGTGGACGGCGGTGATGACTGTATACTCCAAAATAAAATATTGGCGTATAACTAAGCTCGTGTTTTCAAATTATTTTATTTATCATTTAAAATGATAAAATATTGACCGGTAGTTACCAACGTTCTGCTCCGTCATATGTCTGTTGTACCAATGCAAATAGTGTCTGAAAAAGGGCAAAATGTTTTTGGAAAATGGCGTTTTAATAATATGGAAGAAAAAAAAACTTCAATTCACAAACAATAATATATAATAGTGCCATAGGATAGGTGGTTCTTTCTGTTACACTGCAGGATTAATGGTACTATATTTGGTTGATGGTACTATATCCGATAGTCCTGTAGGGTGGTACTATATGATAGTCCTGTAGGGTTGATGACACTATATGTTTTATGATATTTTTTATACAAAGTACATCTATTTTACAGGAAATAGAATTATATTCTGTAACTTCGGCTTACCTTATATTTCATATCTGTTTTTTCTTGCACGTGTATCGAAACCTCGTAAGCCCATAGCCATAAGAGGACGATCCCTCTCCCCAGTTTGTGTAAATAGAAACAAATTACTCAGTGAAAGTTATATTACTTTGTATAAACTGAGCTTCTCGCGTTTTTAAAGAGCCCACCCCCACCCCCGTTCATGGTGCACAGCGGAGGGTCAGACGAGGAACAGACGTCTGGGTAAATATACCATCATAGCATTCGTCCTGGCAAATGCTGACCTTCATAAGCCCATGTCACTGTTCATTGGCGATAGTAGCATCATGATAACGCCCTGCAAAACTGGTTAATTTAACATTTTTTTTTACAATTATATTCGTTTTCATTATTTAAATTCAATTAAAATAGCAATTCAGACAAATACGCTGGTTTGATATTGTTGGGCCAGATGCTATATATTCTGTGTTCCGGGTGTCATCCGCTGGTCCTCTTCAGATACTCAGCGAAGATCGGCAGAGGCTGAAATGAAAGAAATATATACATATACCTGAAGTCCTTTTACTGGTATAAATATGTCTACATATAACTTGAGCGACCAACAAGGCGTGAATTGCTCCGAACATAGGGCAAGTCGAATAGCATTGTCCGTGGGTGATATCAATAGAAAATAAAGTGATTTTAAGATGTCCATAACCGCCTTAACAACTGTTTGATATTAATTATGCATGGTTGACAGGTATATCTACCGTTTGTTCTCATTATCCTTCAGTAGACGACATAGGCGGCGTGATGGGATGCTGGAATCATTAGATGGGAGGCGAGAGGGAGGTGTTGTCTTACCTCCAACATTTGATGCTAGTACATCCGTGTCTGTGAGAAAACCATCTTGATTCCTGTCTATAATATCGAACAGATAACTGGCCAGCATCTTCTGATAACAGTAAACGCTGACCATTCTGTTGACGAATTCTCCTCTCGATATTTTACCATCATCTAAAATTTGACAAATAAAACAGATTCAGTAGTTTATCCACCATAACTAACATTTTTTAATACTCTTTTGATTATTTTATTATTAGCTTCACTGTTTCGATAGTGTCTATTTCCAAATTGTATGTGGTACTTGCAACCCAGGGCGTGATCTATCCACACTAGGGTGTTTCACTTTTCACTTTTTTTGGAATTTCTAAGGTTTCTACCCGTCACCGAAGTCCACTCGGGGTCAAACTTACACCGTAATATTTTCAGAATTTTCTTGTCGAAAATGGCTGCCGGCGGCCATTTTTGCCAAAATTGCGACTATTTTCTGGATTTTCGGACGTTTTGAGCTTGACGGATCACTTAGAAAGGCCAGGTATGGCTTGTAATGTGTCTATTTTATGCTTTTCAGGTATGTAGAGTCCAATCCCACTATCTTAAATAAGATTGTCAGAATCCAAGATGGTGGAAATCCAAGATGGCGCCCCAAATCTTCTATTTTCGTGACATGGAAAAGCAGTTTTCAAAGACTATGTCATTCTGAACATCATTTTGGCCCTGATAATAAATTTTGCACTCATAAAATTCATTATCAGGGCCAAAATGATGTTCAGAATGACACTGATCTACCTTTGGTTGACAATGGCGCAAGGTAATGACTGAAGGTGAAGTTCCGATGGAGTATATTCACAACACTATTAATCTGGCAGAACTATGACTGAACCTGGAAATTGTTTACAAAGTTTTTTTTCATGATTGATTTTAGTAGCCTAAGGTGTCCTCTTTCAGAATGTGCCGGGTGAACCTCGGTAACCCTTGAGCGTTCTGAGAAATTCAACATGGCATCCAAGACGGCCGGCATTTCACTAAATACACTGAGCTCGTTCATTATGTTGTGGCGATTATTTCACCAAACCAAACTATATCTAGAGACAAATTATATATTTCTTGATAAAGTAGCAAATGAGTGAGACAATAACACTACATACATGCCTATCAGGAGCACCAGGACCACATGGATCGGCCCTGGAAAGGGGGGGGGGGCACAAGCTGTTTTTTGAATATTTAAAAAACCCCAACAAATTCTACCCGTAAAACACGAAAATAACTAGGTAATATTCAGTTTAATCGTCTAGTCATGTTTCTGGCTGCAACCTGCAAAATACTGTATAATCTAAACCATCCCTAGTGTAGCTACAAGCACGCGTACTACATGTCACTCTTGCATCCACATCTGATGAACCACGTAACAGACTCCGGAGCACGTTGACCGGTTGTAATGTTCTCAATTGAGTGTCCTTAACCAAGCAGTATAGTTCCTGCGGACTACGATCTTCCAGTCAAGGCCACACAATAGCTTGGTGATG